TTAATGTCCATGTCACACCTATCCTATGCCAGTAGTTGTTGGGAGCACTAAGCTCCGAAGTTGTTGACGAGTATGTTTACCTGGGACAAATAGTCCGACTAGGTAAATCCAACTTCGAGCGAGAAGTCAATCGACGGATTCAACTCGGCTGGGGAGGTTTCGCGAAATTACGACACTTCTTCTCGTTAGGTATACCTCAAAACCTGAAAACTAGATTGTATAACTAGTGTGGGTTGCCAGTGATAACTTATGGATCTGAGATGTGGTCCTTTACGGCTGGCCGTATGAGGAAGCTCAAGGTCGCTCAGCGAGCTATGGAGAGGGTTATGCTCGGTGTTTCTCTGCGTGATAAACTTAGAAATGAGGATATCCGAAGTAGAAACAGAGTAATCGAAATAGCTCAACGGATTAGTAAGCTGAAGTGGCAATGGCCCGGCCGTATAGCTCGAAGAATCGGGGAAAAAAGGTTCTCGAGTGGCAGCCTCGTACCGGTAGGCGAAGTGTAGGCGATCCCCCAATAGATGGAGTGACGACCTGGTATTGACATTCAGGAAGTCGATGGATGCAGGTGGTTCAGGACCGTGCTTTGTGGCATTCCTTGGGGGAGGCCTATGTTCAGCAGTGGACTTGTGAAGGGCTGTAATGATGGTGATGAGTATATCTATATAAGATAATAAAGTAGGTATTTGGTCAAATAAATACTAAGTATAAAATAAGCTGAATCGGAATAGAATATTCTCCGTGTTTTAAAAAAAAACGAGTCGTTTTCTCTTAACGTCCTGTTCTTCAGATGACAAAGTGCATAAACGGGTTTCACACCCACATTGTTCATATTATAGGTATATATAATTACAACGGAGAACAAAACGTTTCTCAAATATAGGATTCAATTTTTAAAAAACGGTTGTGTGCTTCAATTTCTACATCTCCCATTATCTTAAATGCTTTACATGTGCAATAAAACTATGCTTATAATATATTATGGTTTCATGTTACTACTTTATAAATAACAGTTGTCAATCAAACTTTTAAAAAGCGTTCCTATTTTGCAGCTTGATTGTGAATAAAATTATTTAAGGACAAAAATAAGTTTAACATTTTAATGTTTCCATTTTTATTTAAGCTCGCTTTTCTATCATTAAAAGAAAAAATTCTTACATAGCACCTGTAAAGCATCATTAATTTTTTTACTTATTTACTTAAATATAAATTGCCGCACATGTCATATACTATATTATTCACGTTACAATATAACTTAGATAAAGCAGCAAATGTCTGGCTAACAAAAATATTTAAATATATACTGGCTAACTAGCTAAGTGGGTAGTATAGTCATTCATTAGATAAATATTTTGCTAATCTGAAATGTTACAATATAACAGCTAAAAACCAATATTTCAAAAACACAGATTCTTTGAATAGAACTAATCATTTCATCAAAACATTTTCTTCGACAGAGATAGTCCTAGTGTACAGCAAGTATGAGGTGGTGGATTTCTTTTAGGTCTACTGCACGCACGTAGTTGGATGATGGACTTGTAAATATGAAGGTATTATAAATATAATCTTACTAATCCGATTCTACAAGTATGCCTTATGTTTGATACACGGCAATTTTTTTTGTAGATGCATATAAATATTTTTTTTTAATTTTAAAAATATTAGCTACACTCCAGGAATTTCTTCTGTGTTTGGAGCAATTTCACACACATATACTTCGTGACATTCCTTGAGGAACGCCTAAGTTCAGCAGTGGACTTGTGTTGAGATGTAATGATGATTATCATGATGATGATGAGAACATAGTAGTATATTTTATATGTATTCTCGATGGACTAAACGGCAAAAAAGGTGGCCGTGCGAATTAATTTCAACTCATTTGGCAACATTCGCAGATATGGTAGAATCCAAAAGGTTGCACTGAAGGCAAGTTATTAACAAAAATCTCATATTCACAATAGGTTTGGTGTCGAAAAAAATCACACAAACTTACCCGATAGATGGCACTGTGATCGAGTTCCCTTATTAATTTTATATTTACACTGTAAAAAGTACGGGGTGAATTCTGCATGAAATTCATCGCACCAACAATAAAAAACGGCAGAACAGGAAACAAACTGGTGTCTTTTTTTTTTACCAATTCAAAGCACTACAATATACAAAGATTAATGAGATGACCATTTTTAAAGCTCTCTTCACAGTCAACTTGCTGAATACAGCTTTCTGTAAAAAAAATCTGTTAAAGAAGCATATTAACCTTCAACAGCAAAGCGAATTCACGCGAGGACATATAACTGTACATTTGCTAAATAATTATCACATTCTAATATATTTTTATTCATATTTTCAGGTTATCAATGTTAATGCAATTACCACAGGTGGCTTATCAAATACCAAAGTTTATAATGGGGTTGGGCTGAAATATGATTGAAGGACGAGCTGAAATGAAATTAAATTACACCACCGGATTTAGTCGCATCGAGAACAATACTTATTACTAATTTTTTTACAAACTGTTCATTTTTTATTTATTTATTAAACCATTTTGAGTTAAAAAAAAACAGTAAGAGATTTTAATTTATATATTTTATAAGGTCGTCTAGTTATCATTAATGTGATTTAACAATGTAGTTAATAAAAGATGTCATTGGTCCATCTTTAGTTCTCAATTTTACTGTTGTTAATATTTGTAAATAAAATTTGTAAATTTGTAATAGAAAATGAGAAATAAACTTGTTTTATTAAAACTATGTTTTTCTTCAAACATTTTATTTTTATAAAAATTAAAAGGAGCATTGAAAATGAAGCACATTTCTTATGTACATCATATAAATAAAATATACTTGTTCTTAGTCACACAAATTAAAACTTTTCCTCTTCATTAAATCAATATTTTATAAAAAAAAATAGCTATACGTGATATGAAGTATTACGTCGCAAAATATTATACATTTGAAATAAAACATTTCTGGAATCAATCGGTCCGCCTTATTTTAAGACTGCAAATTCTTGGAACAAATTAAAATACAAAACAACGGCTTAACTCTTACCGTACTATTTACACTTGCTTTTAAAATATATTTATGACTAAAAAAAAAAACAAATACAACTATACTACGTTTTCATGGCCATAGTTATAATATCTAATAATTGTATCAGTCTGTTTTCAGAATTACAGATGAGGTTTAAAAAATTAAAGTACTTTTTATTTCTTTGAAACATCACACAGTTCATGATTTGACATATCATCATATCATATTTATTTCATTTTGTGAAGTGCATACCTATGATACATATTTCTGATGCATAATATGGTTACACCAAAATCGACTTATACATAGCCACAATATACATCAGGAATAACATGCTAGATTACTCTGTTTGTTTGCAATACAATACGATGACACATCAAATATATTAGCCTTAGTTAAATTTTTCAAATGTAGCTAGCCATTAGTGTTGATGGTATTTGGCAGTGGGTTTGTTAGGTTCTATTCTAAAAGATTAAAATCTTAATTTCTGAAATGTGATGTAAACCATTTAGTTAGCTTGTTATAAATATATTATAATTTTTGTCCATTCAGAAATGCAATATTTTATCATAAAGCTAACGAAAATAAGGTGAAATAGACTATTTGTATCAAGAATATAGTTTTCTAATATTTTGCCATTTAGTTTATTATATCAAAAATAATGTCTTATTTCTGGACCACTTCCAATTTGTTAATAATCCCAAATTATAATTAAGGCAACAATAGCATGACAGACCACTAACAACAGACGTTTGATATTTTTATGAACATTTTTTCACATTACTTAAAAATATTAAATTCCTTGAAGAAGAATAAATTATTCGATGAATAATAATAACTTATGTTTGCAAAAAAAAACTATAATTTAAAAATTAATTCCATGCATTTAGAAATTTTAAAATATTTAAAATGCCTTATTTTGCGAAATAATTAATGAGAACACGCAATTTTTGTTCTGTAACAAAAAAATTATTAAAATTATGTGAGAGTTAAAACATGTTTTTAATGTAAAATTATAATAATTAAAAGGAATTTTCAAATTCTAAAAATATTAAATACAAAGCGCTGTGACTGTGCTTATTTTTATTTAATAAAGCACATTTAAAAAAAAAGGTTAAATCTAATTATAACCTGCAAAAATAATTGAGATAAAGTCTAATTTTTAAAATTATACATAAATTTTCAAACTTAAATGCAAAAGCACATAAAAGGATAGTGATGCATGATATTACAAGTTACAAATAATCTCAAAATGAACTAATGAGTATGAACTCCAAATATTAAAAGTAAAGTAAAATACAGTCTTGATGGCATTGTTAAAATGAAAATGAAGACCACACATCTGCTACTGTTACTATGACTGCCAAATGTAATATCACAGTGAACAATATGTTAGTTCTTATACCATAACACACCACTAACCTTTACCTTATGGCAAACTTTTTAAAATACAACTAAAATAAAAAATTGGAATTAAAATCAATATTTACTAAAGTCCTATGTACAGTTCGAAATCATGTCAAAGTATAGCCTTGTTCATCAACATCATCAATCAGTCTATAACATAAAAATTATAATTAATTTTGAGTATTTGTAGTTTAAAAAGAAGGGCCTATCTATTTCTTTCTAAAAATTTTATAAGCCCATGAAGAAGAAAATCTATAAAACAAATTTAGTGTCATGATGTATTCCTATAATACTTAATTACTATTACAATACATTGAAATGAGGTATCAGAGACTTTTTTAAATTACTAGAAATTATAAAAAAAATATCCAAAATGGCACTGCATCAGACCTTGGGTATATTATCCAATAATTATCTTAATCTCAAACAACATTCATTCTAATCTTTTACACAATGATTTTAGAAATCATATAAGTAACTATCTTTGGACATGGAATGTAAACAGATTTTTAACAAAAACTCACTGGGTTTGTTTGCTTTGCACTTATAATATAATATAAGTCACAGGAGCCTACGTAAAGTTCTCTTACTTTTTTTTGAACACATTGCATGTGAATTTTTCTTTCTTTTACTTGGACTAGGGCCCTCTAAATCATATTGACGACACTTTTTGTCCGGATGTCTGTCACATCTACAAAATCTGCAAAACTGATAAGCACAGGTGTTGTTGGTGCATTCCACCCACTCCTCTTCAGAATCTTCTTTATTTACTTTGGCAGGTTGATCACATCTTGAACATATAACTTGCAAACGTGAATCCAATGATGCTGCCTATGATCAAAAGAACATTTTTATAAATAATCAATAGTTTATTGGCAATTATGTGTTAGAAGACCTTTTATGTAGGCATTACAAGAAATAACTAAAAAGCACTCCAACAATATCATGTCAAGTGTTCAGTAAATCATAGCATAGTTAGAGTGAGATTGAAATATTTCATGTCTTTTCAAAATTAAACCAGGAGCTGGTTCATTCAAAATTGTTCTTTACAAGAGTTACAGTTGTACTATTTTTTCCATACATAAAAATACTTGAAAATATTTTTAACAATATTTAAATAACTATCTAGTTGTTGTAGAGGTGAAGAAAATTCTTTACCCCATATCATCCTATGGGTGTCATAATAAAGTAATAATCTATGGTGTCATTAAAACCTGCCAAGCATAGCAACTATGGCGTGAGGTAATCTACGGTGGATGTTTGTGTTCTACAGTGGACTTGTGATGATTTGCAATGAATTAATGACTAAAAAAATATTTTGATTTAATAATTGTTATTATTTTTTATAAAGGCAAGTAGTAAAAAAGCTATTTTTTCCCTATGAAACTGTAAAGGCAAGTAAAAATTACAGTTGGAAAAATACCATGACCAGTCCATTTACTAATCAGAAATGGGCCCATGAATTTCTTTCACAAAAAATGCCATAATAATCCAAATAATAATAAAAGCCAAAGAATAGTGCAGAACATGTTGTACCGTACAACATGTACTGTTTTGTTAAATTAATAAGTATAAAAGTTTTCTGTATTTACTCCTACATATCTGATGACAATAAAAAGCTATACTTAAGCAAATGGAATTAAGATGGTATTGCATCAAAAAATAATAAATACTAGCGATATGCCTCGGCTTCGTACAGGTGTTTCTTGATTTCAACAACAGCTTCACCTAACACGTCTAATTGTGAATATAAACCTGGATGGGACCCACTCAAACACACATTCATTTCATCAGAATAGGTCGAGCCAGAGACTACTACTACTAGACTAAGGGACTAGTGGATGACAATAGATTTTTATATATAGAGGTAAATAAATTTTATTAAAGGTGGCTAACCGCTAAGTGAGCGGTTAGCCACCTTAGAGTCTATATCACCTGAGGATGCCTCGTGTAGAGGCGAAACACGTGTCGTATTATCGTCAGTGGTGTGTCTTGCCTAGTGTAGTGGTGTTGGGAGTAGCGGTGCTGGGATTAGTGGTAACGGGGATAGTGCACGCAATTGAGGGAGGGCGGGAGGTGCTCTTCATACTAGGTAAGACACATCATTTTATTTTATAACGCGGATATTTGGGAAGTAAAATTTTTCTAAAAGCCTTTTTATATAATGGAATTCCGCAAAGTAACGCTTGATTCTATTAATTAAATTTTATTAAAGTCAAAAATTCTTTATGTGGTAGAGGCACACTGCAGCTATAATACGGATTTTGTCACAGACGGGGAAGGACCACATTCTTTTTTTTTATAGGATAGGGTCAGAAACGAGCACACAGTCCACCTGATGGTAAGTGGTTGCTCTAACCCATAGACATCTACACTTATCCGCAATAAAGAATCAAAATGCAGATGCGTCGTCACCCATGAGGACTAAGATGGAATACCTCTTTTCCAGTAAAATGGGTCTCCGGTTCTCTACACTCAGCATACGAAACACAGCAGCGTTAAACTGCTATTTTACGCTGGTATTCTGTGAGAGTGTAGTCCTTCCCCGGCCGAGCCAAACCATTTGTGCTACAACTATACTACTAATATAGCTGCAGCATGGCTCTACCACGTACAAAAATCTCACAGTATACCAGAATAAAATAGCCACATATTGCTGCTGCGTTAGGTACATAGTTTTAAGATGGATATTTAACCATCCTAAGCGGGGATTATTAGTATAACCCTATTGAAGAAGCCATTGTTGAGACAATTACCTGTTTTCTATTTTTGGTCACACATAAAATTATTTTTCTTTCTTTGTAGGATTGTTACTCAATAATAATGACTTTTTATGAAACTAAATGATTTCACATTGTATTGTAAATGATATAGTAGTTCATATTCCCACAAGCTCTATAGTAAAAATAATCGATATCTATAATGATATAAATTAAATAAAAATTAAAAATAAATGCAAAATTGTACACAATCTAGCACTATTTTTAGTTTTTAATGGATAAATATGTTGATAAGGCAGGTGCTCTACATGTAGGTGAGATTGACATTTGGAGAAAGTTGTAAATTAGGAAAGTAACAATACATTTTATTACCTTAGTAAATTTTTTAAATCTGATAGTTCTAGGTGTACCAGGAGGGCTGCCGACAGTATTTTTCACATTATGACTATTGGCCACATTGTGGACACCCATAGGTAATCTTACTTGGGTGCTATTAATGTCTTTTGGTGTTGCTCCTTTGTTCTCCTGGTTTTCTTTTTCATTTTGCATAAACTTGACAAACTTTTGTTTTACTGTTAATTTTTTACTTACTTCATCCCACACCTTTAACCACACATCACTTACTAAGCTGAAGTTATATATATCTTCATTTGACAAGTATCTGAAAATTTCCATGATTGGAGGCATGGCAGTATGCTCATATAACATCTTTATAATATCAATTTTTTTGTTAGGTTTAATGTGATATGATTTCACTTTTTCAGGTACTGGTCTTTGTTTCACTGGTTGTAATGCTCCAACTTCACATGAAAGTGAATGAGTTATAAGTTTTTTCACTGGTTTTCTTAGGCTTGATGAACTTAAATTACAACTGCTTCTGCAAACTTTTTTCACTGGGGTTGTGGGATATGAAATATCTGTTCCTTCTAAGTTGTTTTGATAGTTGAAATCATTTAAAACGGTATTAGTGTATCTGGAACTAACTATAGATTTGCTTAATTTAGTCCCATCGCTAAATTTAAGTTTACGTAAGCAACCTGAAATAAGACTAGTTGGTGTTGGAATTGAAGAATTCCCATCTGCATTTTCTATATCCTCCTGAAAGGAGCGCTTTACTCCACGGCGACTTACAGGTGAGTCTTTACTGTTGTCCAAAGAACTAATTGAACTAGAGGACTTACTATATCTCTGTCCCAATCGAAGCTTTACCTCTGGGGTAATATCGTAGCAATCCACTTGAATTTGACAAAACTGTCCCTGTACGACATGAGAGTTAAGACTATCGCTCGATATTTCTGAATACTGGAATGAACCTGGTGTAAATGTGTGATATCCGCTATCTTCATTCTTCGAAAATCGATTAATACTGTTGAATGATAACGCTGGAGTAGCGGGTTCAATAAAATCTGATTGAAATTCCATCTTACAAGTAATTGTATGCCATTTAATTATTGTAGCAATATCAAAAGCTTGTAAAATGCATTGCAACAACCGCTGCAACGGATCTGTCCAAAGCTCCAGTCTAAATGTTTTCAATAAATCTCCAAGAGATCATATTTAAAAAATCCATAAGTTCTAGGTAAACGATAACTAATTATTTTTATACTTCCACAATGTATGTGATGTATGTACTTGAATATCAAAATTCAAAATCTTCGTGGGAATAATTATACTACAAACACCAAGCCATGACAGGTAAGCAAACAAATTCAACAATTCAAAAAAACTTTACGTAGTGCCTACTGCCTATTGTCTGTGGATAGGGACATTCCGATACTAGTAAATACGAGTACCAAGTACTAATAGCATCGAATCAATCTTGCGATACTTACTCGGTATCGAAACAAAAGTACTTGGTATCCAATCAGACGAGCTGAACCCGTCCGACGTCACCCGAGTCGAGACCGAGAGAGAGAGCCGCCATTATACTAAAATTGTTACTGGACGTCAGCACTAGCAGTGTTCAGCATTCCACAACGTAGATAGAGAATTGACTAGATAAAGCATTCGCGTATGCTTTTGAGATAGAAATAGGCGGGAGGTACTTTCACTGGGTTACCAGATATTGTTCCATTTCCCCCGTTATGGGTTTATTTATATTCACAGCACTTACATTCATACAAAAAACTTAATTGTTACCATAAAAAATGTTCTTTTATAATTCAGATGATTAATTAATTTCTCTTGAAAATACATTCTGTGACAAAAACTACGGGCGGAAACGGTATAAAAACAGAATCATCATTCTGTATTCAACGGCGCATCGACGATTTTACTGGACATTCAATAAACTCCTTGGATTTCGACGACACTAAGTGAAGGCGCTAATAGCACAAAGTGAGATATCGCTAATAAATAACAATATGTTATGTATGTACTTAAATATTAATTGAGAATAAAAATATGAAATAAATTAATATTTTTTTTTCTCAATTAATATTAATATAATTATTAATAAAATATAATTATTAAAAAACAAAAATTTCCTTGTGTCGAGTTTTGTTGTTTTTACAAAAAAAAATCAATAATGTTTTAACATACCATTCCATCACAAGTTCAGTGCTGAACACAGACCTTCGAAAGGAAAGGGTTTCCACTTAGGTTTTGTAGTACAAAACACGGTTATGAGCCTACTCCCGCGATTTCCTGCATGTTTTGTTAAGTTAGTGTCTTGTGTGCGGCAAGTTGTGGCGTACAAGAGAATTTGTCTGTACACGGGATGATATTACCCCGCGTCGTAAGCAATAATACAAGATGGGGATGGGGCAGCAGCACTTTCCCGATGAAAACTTAAAATAATAAAAAACTGCGGTGGCCAACCAGCATAACGCATATTTTCACGCAGGCGTGGCAACTATGGCAAGTCATCCTATGAGGATATCTATGGAAGGCCTTTTTTAGGTGACTTACTTATGGTTAGGTGGCTTAATCATGTTACCTAATGGTTAAGATGATAAAATATTTTAGTTAATATACGTTGTAAAGCATCAACAAAGGATTTTTTTTTGTAATATGTTGGTATATAAAATAAAAATGAATGTTTTATAATATTCTATTTTAATTTACCATGCAGTGTAAGATTATCTGCTACCACATATCATTCCATGGGTGGTGTATGAGGCGACATAGGGAAACATCAAAGAAGATAAACAGCAGCATTGTCCTGATAACAACTAAATAATGGTTGACAAACCGCTTTCCAAGCGTTGAAACTATGCCAAATAACTATAATCATGTTTAACAACAAATTTAACAAAATTTTTGTCTTCTTTCCTTGTAATTCTTGGTTTGAGTAGCTTTAGAATTTCTCAAAAATGTTTATTTGTAAACTTGATTTATACTTTTGCATGGCAACAATTCTTGGGTGCTGGTCGTGGTATATATATATATATATATATATATATATATATATATATATATATATATATATATATATATATATATATATTATTTGCCTTGTATATAATATATTTAATGGTATAAATAATAAGGTACAACTCCTAAATTATACTTAGAAAGGTAATACTTATGTCTTGTCAAAAACATCTTTATTACATTATTTTTATGACAATTAAATTGAAATTATCATAATTACTACATTTATTTCTTCATTTATTTACACATTAATGTTTATAACACCTTTATAAAAGGGATTAAGGGTGGACTAAATGTCCCATTGGTAGGCATTCCCAGTCAGTTTTACAATTATTATTGCATAATAAATTATTCATTTTTATATTTAGGCCAGGACTTTAAATTACTTATTTATTTATTTAATTTAAATCTTTATTTGCATTAAACATGGTAGTACAGATAAAGTTCCAACATTTGTAAATGAGGATTCATGTTTAATCAATACATCTATAAGTAAATATTTTGTCATTGTCATGCCACCCAAGTATTACAAGTCATAATAATACAGAATGTCAGCATTTGAAAATAAAATAAGCAATGCTAGTCAATTTTTAATACATACAGAACAATGTCAAAAATCATAACTACCAACAATATCAAACTTATATCACTTATGGAGAAACAACAAGATACAACAAGAAATTATAACATTTAAAAAAATTATCTTAATTATATTATAAATTACATAAGTTAAGCATATTTAATCCACCTAAAACAATGAGGCTTAAAATGTTTTGAGCATACACTGGTAAGTTTTGTTGGTTACCTATAAGCACTACCAGTAGCGATTATCCAACTGTTACAGATAGCTGATTCCTTAGGAAAGCTGTGAAATAATATATTTAAAAGAAATTAATATATTAAATATATAGTACACTTTTATATCAAAGTTAACAAAAATAAATCAAGTATGTGTATCTGTGCATAAATACAATACCTATAACAATTAATACAATATCAATTGATTTAATTAAATAGCAAGTATATGTAAATGTAATGATAATATTATTCATACCAAACATTTAAAAAAATTATGTACATATTAAGCTTTAGATATTGTTAATTAATACATTTACAGCCTAACAAATGTCCTCCACCGCTGAACATAGACCTCCCACACAGTTTGTCTCCAAATAACTGCAGTTGCCCATTCTCCTGCCAAGCTAGGCAACTATCACAAAACCTATAACTTTTGATACTGACTAATGGTAACGGTAAGTATATTATCATAAATTTTTTTCTACATTATTAATTGAGAATATTATCTTATGTTGTTGTGTTATTGTGTACCTTAAGATTAAGGGTTATTTATTTATTTATTATTTTATCTATATTTATATTTATTTTTATATTAGCATGACATATTTTTTTTAATAAATATTGTAATGTAATTGTTGCTAATGTATAATAGAATTAATGGAATGCAATAAAGTTTTGTGCATCTGATTTCAGGCAATACATATTTTGTGAAATTAAAAATACCTTGCCCAATATTTATGTACTTGAATCCAAACATGTTTTCAGGTTGATACTTACATATTATTTGTGACGTCTATGTAATATGGAAAATGATTGAAGAGTTGTAGGGCAATAAGGAGTTTCGTTTAAAGCTGAACATAAAAGTGTATGTATATGTATAACATTATGTGATTCATATTTATGGACATAACTACTAATCACAATAACAATTATTATTGAAGAATGCGAAAACATTATTGTACTCGCTGATATCCCTAAAGTTTCTATAATCCTACCAAATCAAAAAGTACACGTTTGTTATGACTTTAAGCTTTCGAATGACCGTTCAAATTAAGGAGCATTATCATGAAGAATTTACAATTTGGGAGTCCAAATATTTGACAAAATACATCACAAAGTTCATTAAAAACATGAAATGTTACACTTTATATTCAAAACAATAGATATTAATCAGTACAAGTAGCAAATGTAAGCACAAAACAAGCTTACCGATGAAAGGTTATATTATCAATTTTTCGTTGACTGATGCTGTTGCATCCTAAAATGCTACAACTTACCATCTTTTTCACCTTACCTAATAACTAAGATCCACAAAAAACACTAAATTCAATTACCTGTTTGCTTATAATATCAATATTATTCAAAAGAGCTTGACATCGTTAATGTCAAATAAAGGAGGGAAAACAATCAAAAACGCATACCTAGAAAAAGACAAGAAATATAGATTTGCTTCTCCCTTACTCTTATGTCTAACTATATACGTGCATTCCTTTCACACGCTGATGACGTCACTGAATGTTTAGTCTATAAGATACTATGTCTATGTTCCACAAGTGATTGTTTACGATTACGTTACGAGTAATTTAAGTTATTGTAGTCATCGGTTTTTGTTCCAATGTTATCATGGCAGTGGCACTGCCAAAATCATTAATATGGACAAATTTTACTGAACAACTGCAAAATGTTTACAATGTTTCAAGTCCGTGTAATATTGTGGCAATACGTCTAATTTATTCAAGCATTCCAAAACTCATGGAATTACTGTGAATAAATGCAAATTACAGAAAAAAGCAGATAAAGGGATAAACAAAAGCTAGGATCTTCTATTTTTCACTAATTAATTTCGTTAGGTTAGGTTCATAATAGTTCGTTAGTTCATTATTTGGAACTATGCGATGTTATCTAAAGTGGCAGGGCAGATCGTTGTGAGGCTTGAAACATTTGGTACGTTAATTTCATTTAAAAAATTAAAAGTATCGATATCAGTAAGTATCGATACATTAGGAGTATTTGTATGAGTAGTATCGAAAAATGATTTGAGTACTACTGATATGAGTAGGTATCGATACTTTGATGGTATCGGAACATGCCTATCTGTGGATATGGAAAGTGGAAAATGTACGCCAGTCGTAGACAGAGAAAAGTATATTCTAAGTCTATGGGAAAGTGGCAGTGCGGCCAGATCAAAAAACTCACTCAGCGCTAGGACGACACAAAAAGCGCTAGATTTCATGAAAACATCGCTTTAA